AGAGTGATTGATTGGGTGTTCGTGAACTTTTTCTATCCCTTTCTTTTTCTTTTTTGGTCGATTTGGGGGTTCGAATTCTTCGAATTTTTACCCAAAAATTTTCGATTTTTTGTCTTTAAAAAAAAAAAAGTGTCATCTTGTTAGTCCTTTTGTTTGATTTTTTTTCGGTTATTACCTTTTTGTTGAAGGGGCCGAATTTCTTTTGTTTTTTCTTTCTTTTTGGTTCGACTTGTTCGAATTATTTTTTATATAGAGTCTTAAAAAAAAAAGAGAGAGTCATGACGAATCGCGAGAGATTCGATGCACTTGAGGAAAGCGTGAGGTCCCTTGGCAACGGACAACACGTGGTCAATGAAAACATGGCAAAGTTAGAGCTGATGATACACGACTTGGCGGGACAGCTCGAGAGAGTCAACCACCATACGCGGAGGAGCCGCACATCGAGATCAACCATGGCGGGAACGGGCAGTTCGGCGTCTAGTCGCGATGACGACGAAGAACGGTCGCGGGAAACGCGCGCAACGCGCACTACCCGACACCACGGCGATCGCAGGGCGCATGGCCATCGGCGTCATCGAGAGGAGCACGTACGTGCGAAACCGAAGATAACGATGCCAACGTTCGAAGGAGTAGATCCGGATGCATGGTTAAGTCGTGCCGTGCAATTCTTCGAGATCAATGAGGTACATAAATCTGAAAGAGTTCAAATTGCTGCCTACTACTTGGATGGCGAGGCCAACACATGGTGGCAATGGGTGTCACATGTTTATAAAAATAAAGGCGAGAAAATTAGATGGCGAGATTTTTAGAAGGAGCTGATTGCCAGGTTTGGATCTAGCGAATACTTTAATTATGATGAGGCGCTAACAAGGATCTGCCAAACCGGTAGTCTACGTGACTATCAAAAGGAATTTGAGAGGATAGCAAGCCGGGTTCGGGATTGGCCCGAGAAGGCTCTAGTAGGCGCGTTTGTAGGGGGCTTAAAGGCTGAGTTGGCTGCGGAGGTACGATTGGACAGGCCAAGGTCGACAAGGGCTGCCATGGAAGCTGCGCGACTGCACGAGGATCATCTCGCGGCAGTGCGCAGTGCCAGACCAAGCGAGGGGCGCGCGGACGTTCGGCGCGCGAGCGTCGCGATGGACGATACGCCCTCACGGGCCGAGGTCAAGCCAACAGTCGGTGATGGTACACGCACCACTAGCAACTACCGACGATTGACGGAGGATGAGATACAAAGGCGAAAGGAGAAAGGCTTGTGCTTTACTTGCAACGAAAAATTTACGCCAGGCCACAAGTGCAAGGGTAAGGAAATTTTTGTGTTGGAAATTAAGGAGGGAGGAGAGGAAGAAAAGCCGCAGGAAGATTCTTGGTTGCATATGGTGAAGTGCAACAAGCGTGGTCCTAAGATGATCAAATTCACGGCCGAGATAAAAGATAGGTTGTTGGAGGTTCTGGTGGACAGTGGGTCTAGTTTGAATTTCATCGACGAAAGGATAGCCCAAAAGCTGAAGTTAGTACCCACAAAAGTCAAGAGGTATGGTGTCAAGGTGGCCAACGGGCACGAGCTGCAAGGAAGTCAATTATTCAAGAAGGTCCCGATAATGGCGCAGGATCACGAATTGGAGATTGATCTTTATGCCCTACCACTAAAGGCGACAGATATTGTGCTAGGAGTACAGTGGCTTGAAACGCTTGGACCCATCACGACTGACTACAAGCGAGGAAAGATGGAGTTTGGACGACCTGGAAAACGCATTAAGTTGAGGACTGAGGATCAAGGTGAATTCCCCGTTGAAGAAGAAGATAGTGATGTGGACGTGCTAAACTTTCTCATCCTTGAGGACAAGGAATGTCTTGAAGAGGAGGGGAATGATACGGAAGTGGTTGTCGAGGCCGAAGAGTGGTCGGGGGTGACCGACGGTCGAACGGGTGAGAGGCGCGCATCGGGCGGTGATGTGCGAGGGCGGGTGGCCAGCACGCGGGCAGCGACGGGTGTATGGGGGTGCACGGTAGGCGATCGGGTTACGGGCGATGGGAGGTACGCGCGGGCAGTGAGCGGCGGGCGAGCTGGGCGCGCGGGTGATGGTCACGCGGTGGGCATCCGAAATCGCGCAGGCATAGGAGTGCGGAGCAGCGGGACGCACGCGCGCAGGAGGGTCGAGGGGAACCGGGCGCGCAAGAAAGCGTGCGGTTGTGGTGCAGACGCGGGAGTCCTACACCGCGGAGGCATAGGCGTGCGGGACGCGCACGCGCACAAGGAAGGCGGCGGGCTGGGCGCGCGCACGAAAGGGCACGCTGATACGGAAGTAGGGATTGAGACCGGCGAGTCTAGTCAAGGGCTGAAGGGCAAAAGGTGCGCATCGGTACTTGATGCACACAAGGGGGCGAACGAGCGAACCACGCGGGATCGGCAAGGGTCACGCGGATATGCGGCAGATGGGTGCACGGGCGTACGGGGGGTGCGCGGTGCGGAACGGATGGCGCGCGAAGGGCGCGCAAGTAAACAGCACGCGGGCGTGCGACGCAACACGCGCGAGAAGATCGGCGATAGCGAGGAGCGCGCGATTATGCGCGAGTGCGAGGACGCGAGCGCATGCCTATGCGCGGTAGGCATAGGCGACGAGAAACGGGCGCACGCACAGGGAAAGGGGCAGCGCTGGCGGGGCGCGCGTGCAGGCGCGCGCGTACGGTCGAGACGCGCAAATCCTAAAGCGCCGAGGACTAGGGAACACGGACGGGCGGCGCGCATACGCGTGGGACGCGTGCGAGAGTGAAGGCGGCCGAGAGTTTAATGTAGGGTTTTATTTTAGGAGCTTCTAGATATTCTTGGTGTGCAAGCCAAGCAATAGTATTATGGTAGGTTTAGGATTTTATTGCTTTCTAGACTTAGGATTTCTATTCTTGCATGATTTAGGAGATCTATTAGATTTAGGCCT